TGTGTGGACATACATGTTCAATTATCTTGGGTACATGATAATTGAGTGGAATTTCTGGGTGATATGCTAACTATGTGTTTGACATTTTGAGGGGAATCCACTTCTAGGTATAAAGTAGCTACCTCATTTTACATTGTCACCATGCCCTTATGAGAGTTTCAGTTTCTCCACATTCTTACCAACACTTGTTGTTACCCTTCTTTTTTTGTCCAACTTTATGGAGATATAATTGACATATAACACTGTGTAAGTGTAAGATGTACATTGTGATGATTGATATACGGATATATAGCAAAATGGTTAGCACGATAAGGTTAATGCATCTTTTTTCTTACGTAATTATCATTTTATGGTGGTGGTGGTGGGAACATTAAATCTTTATTTTCAGAGCAACTCTTGAGTATATAATACAGTGTCATTAATTATAAACTCCGTACTGTATATTAGATCCCCAGAACTTAGAACGGAAAGTTTGTACCCTTTGGCCAACATGTCCCCATTTCTCCCACCCCTCAGCCCATGGCAAACGCCATTCTGCTTCCTTCCTCTCTTGCTCTCCCACTTTTTCGTTAATCTCATGATTGCCACAGATTGGCTCACTGAGAGCGTAAGCATCCCAACAAGGGACTTTTTATAAATGCAAATTCTTGGGCCCCAGACCTACGGAAACAGAAACTCTGGGAGGGACCCAGCTCCCTTCATTTTAACAAGTCCTTCAGGTGAGTTTAATGCCTACTAAAATTTGAAAACCACTGATTTAGCCTAATCTGGCCATTTAAAAAAAATGCCCATCTTTTCCTATAAACTTTCTTGACACAAGAACATCATCTCCCAGCACCTCTCACATGTCTTAAGAATACTTGGCACTATAAAAATACAATCATATTGGCACAATACAGGCATCTCATAACATTCTTATGGTATTTAGTGATTTACTACTTCACATGACAGTTTCTGAGTATCTGCTATGAGTTAGGGACTGTGGTGGCTACAGAATGATACAAGATGAATACAACACAGTCCTCATTTTTACAGACTTTTCTCTACAGTGAGAACTGTTAGAGACATACACATAATATAGATACAATGTAGCAACATAAAATAGTGCAAAGGAGAACTCTTAAGTAGCATACTATGAGGGACCAAAGGAAGAAATGATATATTTTTATAGAGGGCGGAGGGGATAGTTTCTGAGGATACAATTTCACAAAATTACGGTATCTTCCCCCGCCCTGAGATAGGTTTCTTTGTGTAGAAGTTGGAGCTGGGAGTCATATAGGCATTCTTACCAACACTAGAACTAGTTAGAGGACTAGTTCTAGAAAAGGCCCCAAAGTGTGAATGTAATGGCTTAACATCAGCCTGAAATAGTTTAAGGCTCAGACCATGAAGTGACAAAGTACATTTTAAAGAGAGCCTTTGGTATGATTTGCCCAATGGCTTCCAAATATTGATGCACATTATAATCACCTGGAAACCTTGTTTGAGAATACACAGATTTCTAGTATTCACACCAGATGGCCTACATCAACTCTGTGGGGTGGGGCCCAATAATCAGCACTTTCAGCAAGCTACTCTGGTGTATTTGTTGGCAGCAGCGGGATAGACAGACGGAGGTGAGTCTTCAGGTCAGAAAGTGAGTTAGGGATTAGTGAAACACCCTAGGACAGTGGTGTCCAACCCACAGCCCAGGATGGCTATGAATGTGGCCCAATACAACATCGTAAATTTACTTAACACATTACTTAGTTTTATTACTAAGTTTTATTACTATTACTTAGATATGTACATATTCTGTATTAATGGTCACAAACTTGGGACCTGCTTGGAGATTTTAAAAGATTATCGAAAGGGCTGCTGCATGATTAGGGTTATTATGTGAGGACTCTTTTGCGTATCTGTGGTGGCGAACATCACAAAAATTATGCACGGACTTCTTTTTTACTAATCAGTTTTTGTTAGTGTCTGTGTATTTAATGTGTGTCCCAAGACAACTCTTCTCATTCCAGTATGGCCCGGAGACACCAAAAGGCTGGACACCCCTGCCCTCCCTTGGAGGTGGAGGAAGAGGGCCTGTGGAGAGCCAGGAGGCACGGGGCCAGGAGACAGAAAGATGGGAAGATAACATCAATTGTGAGGATGCAATTGATAGGATTTGGAGAATGAATCTCGATTGAAATAAATCGCTGACAGTCTTCAAAAGCAAGATTAACGCTTTAATGATTCAAACATACTTTCCTTTCTATGTACTTGGAGCAACTGTGTCTAAAAGAGTTAACAGTGCCTGGAAACAGGCTACAAAATATTTTCACTCCAAGTGTCACACAGGGATGTGAACAGTAGATGGCACTTTTGTGCTCTGCTTGAATTTTCAACTTTTGAAGTGAATAACCTAGGAATGATTGGAGCTAAAATAAAAACAGCCCTTTATAGTGCCCAAGTAAATAAGTTCTGTTTCTGCTTTGAGGGCGTTCTGTGAAAGGAGGGATAATGAAAGAATCAGGTTGCCCTACCTAGTACTTGGCTTTCAATGATACTGTGTAGATTTTCAAATGTTGTGAAAGAGTGTGGCTGCCATCCAGGTTGGGTCCCAAATATTTACTGTAGCAGAAGAATTACATGAACTCAGAAGTCTTGAGGTTAGGAAAAATATCCCAAACTTTGGCTATATTTCCAAATATCTGTCTGAGCTTTAGCTGTTTGCAAAGGTGAGGAATCACAAAAAGAAATAAAATCAAATAAAATCAAACTGCCCCTCCTGTGGAAAAGAACCACAGGAGGGGCAGTTTGGAGCAACAGGTGAGAACACTGGAATGTAAACAAAGCACATGTCAGTTTTCTTTTTGTAAAATTTGCTGTTAGACTAGGATACAGGCTTTTTACATCTTTACAATATGCTTGTAATCATGCAAAAGGCATCATGTCTTAGTGATTAAGTTAGTGGAGTGTGGAGGCACCACTAAAACCTAAAGCTCTGCCAGTTGTGTACCAAAGAAAGTAACTTAATGTCTCTGCATATCAATTTTCTAACCTGTATAATGGGAATGGCAAAAATAGCATCCCTACAATAAGATTCTTACAAGGATTACATGTCAGAATTCTTTTTTTAAAAAAAGATTTTATTTAATTTTAGAGAGGGGGAGGGGAAGGAGAAAGAGAGGGAGAGTAACATCAATGTGTGGTTGCCTCTCATGTGCTCCCCCCCACCCCCCGGGGACCTGGCCCACAACCCAGGCCTGTGCCCTGACTGGGGGTCAAACCAGCGACCCCTTGATTTGCAGGTCAGCACTCAATCCACTGAGCCACACCAGCCAGGGGTAGATGTCACAATTCTTAAGGTTCTTAGAAGAGTACCTGGCATGCAGTGAGCGTAAGATAAGAAGTTGATAAATTTTTAAAAGGTCAACTTTTAGGTGATGGGACAATAGGTAATTATTTTCCTGTTCAATTAAAAACACATATTTTTTGATAATTGAGAAAAAGTTTAAAAGTTTTTTTTACTAAAGATCATAGAAAGTCTGTACTTAATATTTTTGTTTTCTTTTGAGCTATATCTCCACCCGTTTTTTTCTTTGTTAGTCTATGGTACCCAATATTAGATGTGTCTTCGCTGTGAGAAACTCTGAGGCCTTGGTTATTCCTCAGTTTCCAGAGTTATTTTTTATTGTAGTCAAATATATATAACATAAAATTTACCATTTTAATTCTTTTTAAGAGTACAGTTCACTGGCCTTAAGTGCATTCATGATGTTTTGCAGTTATCACCATTATCTACTTCCAGAACTTCATAATCTCAAGCAAAAACCTAGATTGTTGAGTTTTTGGGGGCAGAGAAAACATCTCAGTCACCTTTGTATCCTTCGAGCCGTAGAGCAGATATTCAACAAACTAGAATTAAACTAACACTGCAATCTAAAGCTATTTCCTATCTGCCTAATTGCTAAGAACAGTATTATTTATATCTAAATTCTATCTCTAGACAACAGTTAGAGAAACTAATTAAGGTGTGTGTGTAGTCTTTCATTTTTGTGGAGAACATGTATTTTACCAGCTGCGATCTGTTATGTCATCTTATGCTGTCAAGAATCCTTACTCTGCACGTAATTTTCAACTGAGTCCTTCATGCTTTGAGGCAGGGTACAAAAGGATATGGACTTGGAATTGGAAGAGCTGTCTCTGTGTGATCTTTGAAATTTTATACAAAATATCCAAGAATCAAGTTTATAATTTGCAAACGTTGGTAACATTTTATAGCTCTATAGCCTTCATAATGCTGCTGAAGCTCAAGCGATATTATGTGTAAGAAAGGCTGCTGTAGAGATGGCTCAGTCCTATGCGGGTGTGGCTTAATAGTTCAGACAAAACAAATACACTGTTTATTTCTAAGTCTTCCTAAAGACTTTAGATATGCTGCTGTATAAATTGGCTTTTCCAAAACGTACACAAATGAGATTATAATAGAAAAAACATTAAGTGGATGCACAATATGCATTCATTCATTCCATTTATCACTTAGGGCATTGTGTGAAAAACAATGATTAAAAAGTTAAAATCTTTTTTTCCAGAGGTTTAGTTCCTCTGCGTACATTAATAACTAGAAAGCTGCCCCACTTCAGATCAAATCCGCTTCCCGCCTCTTAACAAGCTCCCCGGTACCCACTTGAAATTCGCAGGTGCTGTCTCTTTAATGAGTAGTAGAACGCGGATTGCATCGATCGCAGACTCACTGCCCTCGCCCTCCCACCGGTCCCAGTCCTGTCCCGGTGACTGCTCTCTCCTTCGGGGTGTCTAGCCGAGAGGAGCGCGAGTGTTAATACACTTTGGCTTAGGTGTGTGGTTGCACCTGACCCAGGGGCGTCCGGCCGGCGAGCTGGAGTTCACCCGGCTCTCCCCGGCGCCGGCGGAGCCTCCGGGCTCCGCTGGCCACGCCTGGAGCGCGGGTTTGACTGGGCCGCCGTTGTTGTAGTGACCGGGAGGCGCCGCGGCTCGGGGCAGACGGTTCCGGGCGTCGCACGGTCCCCCATTTCACTCCCATCCCCTTCCTTTCCCCGGGTTCCCCCACCGGCAGGAACCGGGCGCCCACCGCTCCCCCCATGGCCTCCGCCCCGGTAAGGACGGGCTGGGGAGCAACTCCCCGGCGCCGGTTCCGCGGGCTGCGGGGCCAGGTCGGGGCTGCGCCCGCACCTGGCGGGAGGTGGAGGCAGGTGTCCGCTGCCGGGTCATGAATCCCCAGCTCCTCGCCGCCCGCCCCGGGCTCCCGCGCCTCACCCTGTGATAGTGGGGCGTCGGGGGCACCCAGCCCTGGCCGGGCTCCCGGGCGCGCCTTCCCGCGGCTCGGAGGTGGAGACCGAGCCCCTGCAGGCGAATGGCCCCCCGAATTCTCTAAGGGTTTCCGTGGAGCGTCTGCGTCAGAATCACCTCGGGGGGGAGTTTTAAGGGTGCCCAAGCCCGGGCCGCCTCGCACCGGTGACTGCCTGCCGGCGGGCGGGTCCTGAGAACCTGCATTTCAAAAAGCTGCCCCGGGGGGTTTCGCAGGGGCGCAGGGTTCTGGGAAGCGTGGACCGAGGATTTGGCCGGCTGTGCGGGGGAGCTTGGCGCCCTCGTCTCCCTGTAGGGCTGCCTCCGCGCGCGCGCCCCTGGGGCATCCTCCTAGCGGACGGACCGACAGCGTTTGTGCCGTTCCCAGGCCGGACCCCGTGGGAAGGGACCGCCTACATCCCCGATCCCCCGCTTTCGAGGTCTGCACCTGCTTTCAAAGCCTGGTAACTTTCCTTCCTAGGAGGACCCTGTTCTGGAGCGTTACTTTAAGGGCCACAAAGCTGCAATAACCTCCGTGGATTTTAGCCCCAACGGCAAACAACTTGGTAAGTTTTATTCTTTTGTTGTTTCCTTTTTGTGATGGGGCAAACGCGCAGCTGGTCGGCAGTCTTGCCTTCGGTCCACGCTGGGCCTCCGGGAGAACCACCGAGGGCCTCTGTGGAGGCGGAGGGCGTCCGGGGACGCGGGGAGCCCCGCGCCGGGAGCGCGAATGGGCCGGAGCCTGGACCACCCAGATCAGTACCGGTCCCCAGCCCATCCCTCTCGCACAGTCGCCTATAGGCCTGGACCTGTCTGGACAGTTCCGCGAATTAACCACCAGGAGGAGCGAGTGGGAAGGGCAGGGCTTTGTGTTCGGCCCGGGAGGGTGGGGTGTTGGCGAGAGAGTTTGTGAAAAAGTTGAGAGACGTGCAGGAGGAAGTGCGGAGAGAGGAGCCGGGGCTGAGCCGGAGGCGGATGACTGAGAGGTCTAAGGTGACCTCCGGGGAACCCCTGGGGCTGGAAGGGAGCTGAGGGCCTGCAGGAAAGGAGGGACCTGCTCGGAAGTTGGCTCCTGCCTGAGTCGGGAACTCAAGTGGCGGATCCCGCAGTTCTTCCCGCGCGTGGTGACTCCGGTGGCCGCGTCTGCACCCTAGCCGTGAGGATCCGGATGGCCGTGAGGTGGACCTGGGCAGGCAAAAGCTGCCTGTTGCTTGCGCTTTTAACTGTGGCCTATGTCCTGGTGGAACTCTCGGTCTCCACTTTCCATGCCTCCTCGGGAACTGGTCTTGTCTGGGAGCGGGGGCCAAGGCAGCTCCCAGACCCCGAGAAAAGGGTGGAGGACTGGTCCCGACCGCTGTATGAGAAGCCCCCTGCGGATTCCCATGCACTTGGGGAGTGGGGGAAAGCCAGCAGGCTGCAGCTCAACGAGGCTGAACTGAAGCAGCAAGAAGAACTCATTGAGAGATATGCTATTAATATTTACCTCAGTGACAGAATTTCCCTGCACCGCCACATAGAGGATAAAAGAATGTACGAGTGTAAATCCAAGACGTTTAACTATAGGCGACTTCCCACCACCTCTGTTATCATTGCTTTCTATAATGAAGCGTGGTCGACTTTGCTCCGCACCATCCACAGTGTTTTAGAAACCTCTCCTGCAGTCCTCCTGAAGGAGATCATCTTAGTTGATGACTTGAGTGACAGAGTTTATTTGAAGACACAACTTGAAACTTATATCAGCAATCTGGATAGAGTCCGCTTGATTAGAACAAATAAGCGGGAGGGGCTGGTTAGGGCCCGCCTGATCGGGGCCACTTTTGCTACTGGGGATGTTCTCACTTTCCTGGATTGTCACTGTGAGTGTAATTCTGGTTGGTTGGAACCACTTTTGGAAAGGATTGGGGAGGATGAAACAGTAATTGTTTGTCCTGTTATAGATACCATTGATTGGAATACTTTTGAATTTTACATGCAGACCGGGGAACCCATGATTGGCGGGTTTGACTGGCGTTTAACGTTCCAGTGGCATTCTGTCCCCAAACATGAAAGGGACAGGCGGAAATCAAGAATTGACCCGATCAGATCGCCCACCATGGCGGGCGGACTGTTTGCTGTCAGCAGGAAGTATTTTGAGTACCTTGGAACGTATGACACTGGGATGGAAGTGTGGGGAGGTGAAAACCTGGAACTGTCTTTTAGGGTGTGGCAGTGTGGAGGTAAACTGGAGATCCACCCGTGTTCCCACGTGGGCCATGTATTCCCTAAGCGGGCTCCGTATGCTCGACCCAACTTCCTACAGAACACTGCTCGGGCAGCGGAAGTGTGGATGGACGGGTACAAAGAGCATTTCTACAATCGAAACCCTCCAGCAAGGAAGGAACCTTATGGTGATATTTCTGAAAGAAAATTACTAAGAGAACGGCTGAAGTGCAAGAGCTTTGACTGGTATTTGAAAAATGTGTTTTCGAATTTACATGTTCCAGAGGATAGGCCAGGCTGGCACGGAGCTATTCGCAGCATGGGGATCTCTTCCGAATGTTTAGATTATAATTCTCCTGACAACAACCCCACAGGTGCTAACCTTTCACTGTTTGGTTGCCATGGTCAAGGAGGCAATCAATTCTTTGAATATACTTCAAACAAAGAAATCAGGTTTAATTCTGTGACAGAGTTATGTGCAGAGGTTCCTGAGCAAAAAAATCACGTAGGAATGCAAAATTGCCCGAAAGATGGGTCCCCTGTGCCAACAAACATTATTTGGCATTTTAAAGAAGATGGAACCATTTTTCATCCATTCTCAGGACTGTGTCTTAGTGCTTATAGGACACCTGAGGGCCGACCCGATGTTCAAATGAGAACTTGTGATGCTCTAGATAAAAATCAAATCTGGAAGTTTGAGAACTAAAAGAGCACAACAGCACTTTGGCCCTGAGCTGATGATGTATTCAGGAGAGTCAGAGAGCCTCAGTGAAGATTGTATGTTATCAGACATCAACCGGTGTTCATCTGCAAGGGCTCTGTATAATCTGTGGTTCATTTTGGTATAGAACACTGAAACTGATGCACAGAGAGCTGCTGTTTAATATTTGAAAGTGCCTCACTCATAGGTCGTTTTATTTCAGGGCTCTGTCAATATGGTTTCCTCTTCTTAAAGAAGTTGACTGTGAATTGAGATACACACAAAACATTTAAGTGCCAGACTTGATATTAAAGAATGTAAAAGTCCAAGTAAAATAAGATGATTCATGTTGATGGGTAAGTTCACTGCACATGTCATTTTTTAACAAAACTCATAAATGTGCAGTTTGAGCTGTAGCTGTTTTGATTGTACATAGAATTTGAAGTCCTTTAGCCAGCATGTTAAATTTTAGGTTTTGTTTATTTTTTTGTTCTAATTTTCAAAAATCAGATGGAAATCAAAAAAATTTATTTTAAGGAGAAAGGCCTGGTTTAGATACATGTGTAATTAGAAGAGGGCATTAATTTGAATGTGAATTTGGAGGTCTTTTTAACAGATAGACATCTTGAAAAATTATACCCACGTCTGAGTAAAATGGGGTGGTCTTTACATTCCACACTTGTAAACTTGAGCTGTTGGACTTAAATGATCTGTACTGATACCTCTAATCGCTCTTATTTCGTAAGCTGTCCTGTCTGTGAACCTTTTTGTGTGTTAGAGCATTTTCTGATTGCACTTCTTTTAAGTTATGAATGTATTAGAAAGAGACTCATTTAGAATACTGTACTTCCTTCCCTTTGTTAATGCTTAATCACTTAAAGTAAATACAATTGAGGCCTCTCTAAAGTTAAACCCAACTGTGTTTACTGAAATGTGTGAAACTGAAAGTGGGCCTGGTTTTGCAAAGGCGGAGGGACTCTTCTGAGAGTTCTTGCTGATTAGGGCATTTCAGGATGTATTTTAAGAAGACTAGGAAAAAAGCCCAGCTCTACGGTGTTGAATGCTGCCTTTTCAGCACCCAGCACTGAGCCTAGCACTTACGGTGGCTTTCAGTAAGTGGGAGAATGACTAACTGAATGAATGAATAGCGCAGCCCAGGAATATGACTTTGGTCAACTCCTTTGGCCAAATGACTCAGTTTGGGCCTCAGTTTCCTCACCTATAAAATGTGGGTGACAGATTAGCTCTTGCATTCCCCCTCGAGCTTTGAAATGTTATGATAATACAGTACACCCATCTCAGATTCAGTTACTGTGCAACCTTTTACAACACTTTTTATCTCTTCACTCTTAACATAAGTAATGTTGTTGAGCAACACTCAGTCCAGTTACGAAGCTGGAAAAGATAAATGGTTTTAATACTTAAGTGAGCTGAGCTTACCTTGCAGTGATTTATTTTGGATTGAGTGTATGTAAAGTTGTTGTGGTCAGTGTTTGTATTAATTTCATTTTGACAGTTATTGAACCAATTTTTGTTTTTATCTTTCATCTTTCAAACTGTAAGTAACCTTTTGGGCTAAGGATGTAAATATTTTTCATCCCTTTGGCTAAGGATGCTAAATAATTTGGGCTAGGGATGTAAATATTTTCCAAACTAAATAATTTGAATACTTAAACAAAAGTATTATTACTGGTTTTATTCCAATGTTATAGCTAGAAATCACAGGCTAAGTTTAGAATGAAATCTCAATTTGTTCACTTTGGTCTAGGTTTATGAAAATGCATGCTCCACAAAGAATTAGTTCACAGTACTCAGGAAAAGTTGTTTTCAGTGTCTTCTTAATGATCTAGAAAGCAGCAACTTTGAGATGGCCATTTCAAAAAGTAAAATTGCTCAGTATCTTGAATAGTTTCTTTTTTGTCTCTTAAAATGAAAATGTTATTAACTTTCCATAAGTTATCTGGCAGTCTTAAAGTTTATCAAAGAATTGCCCAGATTTCATGTGCAAGGTGCATGGCCCTGGCTGTGATTTAAGTAGAATTTATAATGGTGTCTGAATTTTACAAAAGGGTTGACTAAGAACAGATATTTACATAAACCCACCCTCTCCTCTTGCTAAGTCTGCCTTTTTAAATTATTAAATTAGCTTTTCTTTTAACATTTATTTATTTATTTTTGTTCTACTTAGCCCCCTATCAAATGGCAGAACTAAAAGTGATATAGTCTGAAAGTACTTACTGGAATTATTTTTATTCTAGTACTTTGCTGTGAATGTCAAGTGGGAAAGGGAGCATTGAAAATAAAGGAGTACTTAACTCTCTATTTACTTTTGTTCTAAATTTCAGGGTGTAACCCATTAATCTTTTTGGAAGAAATTTTAAGCTAGTGCTTTATTTATATCAATAATTTGGAACAATTAGGCTGTTCATTCCTCACATTATAGGTAACAGACGAATTAGACTTTCATAGTTTCATTCATAGGCATTTCCAATTTAATTCTTAAAACACACTATAAAACTGCAACCTGTATATATTTAGATGCCTTCTAATTTATTTGTACCAAAGCTCTCTTTTGTGGTGGACAATTAAGAGTTAACGTTTTATGTTAATTTACATGATTAATAACAGTTTTAGTAAAATATTTGGTGGAAAAGAAGTTGCAACTTAAAATGATCAGTCACTGTATCATTTAGTATCCAAGGCTAGGAATAGTTTGGCTAGCTAAATAGGCATTTTTAAGTCATTTTTATTAAAAAAAAAAAAAGATAAGCTAGTCATCTGCAGGGTCTCTATAACTCAAAATAACTTGTTTGTAAAAGAAAATTTGTATTCATTATATGTTGGCAGATCACTTTTCTAGGTCGAAAACAAAATGTTATTTTTAAGTTGTATAGTCCTAGTTGATTTATGATCTCAATTTGAATTGATAAAATACTTAGTTTTGACTTGTCTTTTTGAATTGCTATTTTAATATTTTTAAATGAGCGCAAAGAATGATGAGGTTCAGAATTACTATCTTTTCAATGATGGATTTTCTTCTGTGTGATGAGTGGTTTCCATAATGTTTTCCTTTCGTTAATGATATTTGCAATACTGATTAAGACAAAAAAAATAAAATGTGTGCCTAATTATTTGTGCAAATGGATTCTGATTATTTTAGTCTATGGGATCACTTTTCCTGTGTACACATTTACTGATTGTAACAGAAGTAAATTAAGCTTTTAATTCTTTAACCTAATTGAGAATGCAGACAGTAGCATATAGAAAAGCCAAGTTTTCTGTATTATCCTGCAAGGTGTCATTATCCAGCAAGTATCCTAAAGTGGTGTTAGCACTGTTTATGCATTAACTACTTAAACAAACTAAGATTAATCAGGGATCTCGGAGACCCCTTGAGAGCACTATAAAAGAAAGCAAGTGGGCACCTGGACACATTAGCACTAATTTCACAATCCTGGGCTGAAAAAAAAAGTCTGTCCTATAAACCCCATAGCCTCACACTTTTTCAACCTCCTCTCTGCATCACTGTCCCTAAGTGCAGGTCCTGTTCACCAGTAGCATCTCTAGTCCTCTTGAGTGATTCCTGCCTAACACCTTGCCTGCATTCCTGCCTTCCCCCAGCCTGACACACTGTCTGAGAATTATTAGTTTAAGGACTCTATTTTATACATCAGATGTCTTATGGCCACATTTAAGATATGAATATTTGAGCTAAACATGTTTTCGCAGATCTCTTGTTTTTCTCACTATTTAAAAAGTTGCTATGAATGCGTGTGTTAAAATCTTACTCTATTACTAGGTTGCTGCAACCCTATGCAAATAATTTTATTTCCCTCTGTCTGTTTAATGAATATAAAGAGCCAACTGTAAAATCCGTAGAGACAGTACATTGGTGGTTCACAGAGCCTGGGGGAGGGAGGAACAGCAAATAATTGCTAACAAGGATGGGGTTTTTTGGGTGGAGGTGTGGTTGTGATGAGAATGTTCTGGAATTAATGACATTTTAGCGACAGAGGTGATACAAATCGGGCAAAACACTGAATGATACACTTGCGAAAGGGGAATTTATAGTATGTGAGTTATCTTTCAATTAAAAAAAAAACTTCAGGGTAAAAAAGAGGCTGAAGAATTTCATGTGTCTTAGGAAAGGTTTCTCCTTTCTGTGTCCATCTCTGCATATTAGACTTCAAAACAGGCCAGTAATATTTATTATTAATATTTGAGTCATTTTGTAATTCAGTAGAATTTAAGAAAGTTAGATATAATGTGAATCTCTCAGCTTAGTATTAGGTTGCGTGTGGAAATCAGTTTGTATTGGGACCTTTTTCCTAAAGTTCAGAAAAACTTCAATTAATTCTTTTGAACAGGAGGTTGAGATTATTATAAAAGGTGAATGAGTTCCTTAGGTGTATAGTTTGTTCATGGCAGAACTGAAGAGTAGAGAAGTCCTTAAAACTTGCTAAAAATCAGGTACTCCTTCCCCTTGTATGCCCAGTTTGGTATCTTTCTCAGGCTGGCCTGGGAGAGATGTCTACTGCAGTGTTCTCTGCAGTCTGATTACCCTTATAACCCTTTATTTGCACTGAACTTAATCCTGTTCAAAAAAGGAATGGCACATACTCTTTTTATTCAGTACTCCTTTATTTAGTTATTGCTAATACGTGCCAGATGCTACCCTGTGCTTGTGTATACAGACGGAAGTTAACAAAACAGGTGTGCCAGAAATGGTATGAAGAATTCACAGTCTAGTGATAGACACAGATAATAAAGTGAACACACAGATTATAGGTAGGTGCGACTCGAAACAGGAGAATAATTGAAGGCTGTGGGGAAAAGGAACAAGGTGCTTTGAGGAATGATAACTGTGCCAACATACTTAAGTTTATGGGGTCGAAGAACACTTTGTGAAAGTTTGATTTAATTCATGACTTGAAGGAGGAGTTCGCTAGACAAAGACTAGAGAGAGAATAGTATATGTAGAGAATAGCATATGTAAAAAAAAAAATATGGAAAGGAGCTTGTCCTCAAGCAAGGAAGTAAAAGGCAGCCAGAATGGGCAGAGCCTGTATGCATAGAAAGAGCTTTGGGAGATGAAGTTGCAGGGGGAGGCAGAGGCAGCTTCGGGAAGACCTTGGAGGAAAGGAAGTTATAGTGGGTTAAATGGTGACCCTCCAAACAGGTATGCCCATGTCTTAATCCCCTGAACCTGTAAATGTGACAATTTATAAATACAGACCTTTGCAAATGTAATTAAGTTAAGGATCTTGAGAAGAAATCATTTATAATTATCTGGGTGATAAATTTAATGATAAGTGTTCCTATAAGACACATAGATACCAAGTAGATAGGAGAAAGCCATATGAAGCCTGCGGCAGAGAATTGGAGTGATGGAGCCACAAGCCAAGGAGCTCCTGAAGGCACCAGAAGCTGGAAGAGGCAAGGAATGAAATCTCTTCTAGAGTCTTTAGAGGGGTGTGTGGTACTGCCAGCACCTTGAGTTTAGACTTTAAGTCTCTAGACTTTCAGTCAGAGAGGAAATTTCTGTTGTTTTAAGCCTCTAAGTTTTTGGTAATTTGTTGTGGCAGCCACTGGAAACTAAGAGGCCATATTTTAGGATTTTTTTCCTGAGAGGTGTGGAAAGTTGCTGAAGGGTTTTAAGGACATGATACGATCTGATTTATATCTCAAAAAGATGACTGTGGCTACCCATGGGGAGACAGAACTATCAGTAGAGAAATCAATAACTATTGTAGTAGGATCAGCAGGAGATGATGGTGGTTCAGACTAGGATGGTGATCTTCAAAGTAAGGAAATGGTCTGGGGGAGAGAAATTTGGGAGTTATTAGCATACAGATTGTATTTAAAGTCATGGGAATAGATGGGATCATCTGGGAAGAACATAGAACAATGAGGGCAAATGGCTCATGTCTGAGTCCTAAAGATCTCCAACCTTTAGATCAGAAGGGGAAATAACAAAAGAAACTAAGAAGGAATAGTCAAAAAGATAGGAGGGAAAGCCATTATAGTAGGTTATCACAAAAGCCAAGGCCTAGAGAAAAGTAAAAATGTTGAAGAGATAGAAGATATCAAATAGTCATTAGAGACAGTGGGGGAGGAAACTATTACAAAATTGAGTGCTGCTGCGCAGCAT